TGAAAAAAATTTAAAAAGTTGCATCGAATCTATAATTTTTATAAAATTATAAAAAGCTGACTAAGGTCTCTTCTTTTACAGTCTAAAAATAAATTACTTCTGGACAGTCAAAACTCTCCTTTTGAGAAATATGAATATGAATTTTTCATCCCAGTGACTTCCTTTTTATAAAATTACTGAGACGGTGTATTTTACCTACAGTTTCATAAAACCAGTCTGAGCAATATTTTTCTACAATGTATCTAGTACCAGTTACCAGAGGAATCGTGAAGAGCACTATCGAAAAAATATTGATTGTTCATCTTTTTTATCCATTAGCAGAGATTAACTAACTGATTTTGTCTGCAGGTGCTGATGTATGCGCAAACATGATTGAATATGCAAAACAGCATTATGGAGTTGATGATAAATTGTCCTACCTTCAATTAGATATCCAAACACCTGAACTGCCAGAAAACTTGATTGAACACTTTGATAACGCAGTGTCGTTCTATGCCCTTCACTGGTGCAAGAATACAAAACAAGTATTGAAAAACATATATAAACTCCTTCGTCCAGGGGGTAAGGCCATCATTCTGACAATTTCACATCACATGATCTACGATATGTATCCGGAACAGGAAAACGATCCAAGATTTGCACCATACGTAAAGGTAAAATTCATCCGTAAATTTACGTCTTCTTTTAAGAATGTTCATTTCATGGTTCGAATTTCTCCAGAATTCAATGAAGTGGGCACCTCCTCACCAGGGCTGTTCGGATGCTGAGCAGATCATGAAGAAAGATTTAATTGAAGCTAAATTCAACGTGGAGTACTGCACTAACAAATGGGAAACATTCAAGTATCCGAGTTTTGAGGCTTTCATGGGTAAGGTCCATATGCAGAATTAATATCTTGAAATGATTTGAAAAATCTTTTTGATTTTCCCTCCAAAATCAAATAATATACTCGCTTTCAAAGTTGCACCCTTTTTTTCAATTCACTAAATATATCTGACAAAAATTTTCCACCAAATGCCACAGTAGTGGTCTCATTGGAATCATTCAGGGGGATTTTAGAGACAAAATTTTGTTCAAATTATTTACTATGAAAATAGGGAGTTATTGAGGTTGGAGAAGTTAGAGAATAATAAATAAATTAATTTAAATAATGCATCTGAGTTGAAGTGAGAAATTTCACAACTTTTTCAAGAGCAGGTAGACGGCACCTCCAGTATTATATCTGAAATTTTACGGAAAAGTTTGACTGCTTCGAACGATAGATTTAACTTCTTACGAATGACGAATAGATCAGGAGATTCGAAACTGTATTATTTTCCATTCTAGATTTAGTGATGGCCGTCAATCCATTTGTGCACCTGATGCCAATTGATGTTCAAAAAGAATACAGAAAAGATATGGAGGAACGACTCAAGAGCCAGTGTCCTGTCTCCAAGAAAGACAACACTACAGATTGTCGCGTTTCAATACTCACCACTATAATCCAAAAACCTCCGATTTCAGAAGAAATTGATTTCAACAGACATGTTTAATGGTTGTCCACGGAAAAATGCAAATGTAATAGACTTAAGGTATTTTGGAGTCACTCATAGGTTCATTTTTACTGGTTAAATATGGTTGACCAATCAATTTATAGATGCTGACACTCTTAGACACTTGATTATGACTATTTGTAATTTTCTAAATCAATTTATTCCTGATTTTTCTGATTTTAAATTTGTTAATTAATTTGTGGTGAAGCACAAGCTTTCACCTTGTCTTTTTCTTTGCTTTATCTCACTCTAAAGACTATTTTATCAGACCGAGTAGAAGCTGGCTTCTCCTATTAAAAAATGATGAAAAAAAAATTTTATTGGTAAAATGTAATTCTTAAGTTGAATGACTCTTCGTTATATTGT